GTGAAGGCAAATTCCTGGGTGGCGGGTGGGCCTGGAATGGGAGCGTAGGGAAGGCCACTGGTCTGTTTCTCTAACTCCCCCTTCTCTCTCTCTCTAAGCATGTCCTTGGGTGAGGATTATAAAAAAAGGGGGACCCTCCACCCACACACAAATACACACGCAAAAAGCAGAAAGAAATGCGCTTGCTACGGGGTGGGGGTGGGGGCTGCTGGGTACCATCCCCGGAACTGCCCTGGAGGAAAAGCAGGCCCGTGTGTGCTCGACGGGGCGGTTAGAAAGCCAGCAGCACACAGCGCCGTCTGGCGTTGCGATGCGGCAGTGGATAGAAGCGGGAGGAAGAGGCCGTCTGTGCTTGGAATTACATTTTCTGAGTCCTGCCGCCCTCACCCTCACCGCCACACCTGGAAAAAGGGAACTTTCAGGGTGAAAGCAACGCTTCTTGCCTTCCGGGTTCAATGCATGAGAAGTTTCCAGAAGTTCAGCACATCGTGGGGAGAACTGGAAGGAAGCAAATCCACTTCCCAGAAACCCTCTTCCTCCAGGAGTAACACAGGGCAGGGCTCAGAGGGAGGCGCCCAAAGACCTGGGTAATTCTACTGCTATCTGGTTAAAATAATGTTAAAAGCAGCTGGCCAGCAGGGCTAGTGGTGATACTGGTGGACACACACACACAAACACACACACACACACACACACACACACACACACACATATATACACACACATACACACATGCACACACGCACACACATGCACACGCGCACACACACACGCACATACACACACATACACACACATACACACACATACACACACACACACACAGTTACCAGCGTAAGCCTGGCAGTCAGCAGAGAACAAGACCAAAAGCTTCAGTCTCTATTCAGCCACTAATTTCCTGTGTCACTTAGGGGAACTCGTCTAGCCTTTTCTGGGCTGGCGTTACTGGGATTATGAAATCAAAGCAAGCCTCAGTTTAATACACATTTATCGAAGGCCTCGGATGACTTATCTGTGGGGGCAGAAAAGCCCCTCTCTGCCATGGAAGTTGTCATAGGGGAGGGGCATTAACACCCCAAGGATCGGATGATAGACACTGGCCTGTGCAACTGCGGAAGCTGAGGTGCTGAGGAACCAGCCTGTCTGAAGCCAGCTCCAGTGGGGGAGGCAGCAGGGTGGTCTCCCAAAGAAGGTGATACTGAATGAGACTTGAGTGCTGACCAGAGTTAGCTACTTGCTGGAGACTTATTTTATTTTTTAAGACCAAGCTACTTTTATTAAAGACTAGAGGCCTGGTGCACGAAATGTGCACTGGGGGGGAATAAGATAGTGATAACTAGAAGGGAATAGGGGAAGGGTCCTTCAGCCCGGCCTGCACCCTCTCGCAGTCCAGGACCCCTCAGGGCATTTCCACCTGGATTTCCACGGGGAGTGGGCCTAAGCTGACAGTCAGACATCCCTCTCACAGTCGGGACCCCTCACTCCTTACCACCTGCCTGCTTGCTGCTCCTTAGCACTGCCTCGGAGGCGGGAGAGGCTCCTGCCAACACCACTGCGCTCACCAGCTGTGAGCAGGCTTCTGGCTGAACGGCGCTCCCCCTGTGGGAGTGCACTGGCCACCAGGGGGCAGCTCCTGCATTGAGCATCTGCCCCCTGGTGGTCAGTGCATGTCATAGCGACTGGTCGTTCCACCCTTTGGTCGATTTGCATATTAGCCTTTTATTATATAGGATATTATATAGGAGAGTGTGCCACACAGATTTAAGCAATTATGTGTTTACATGATCCTTTGCCTCTCTCCATAATTCTCTCTGGTTGGATATTAATGGATATTAATTTTTTTAATAATTGAGATTTATTTTCTTTTAAACAAACACTTCTTTATCCAAGCACTCCCTGCAGACACCATTCTAAGCACTTTACACATTTTAATTCATTTAATCCTGACCACAACTCTGAAGTATTATGTTGCCCATTTCACAGATGGGAAAAATGGAGCCCAGAGAAGTTAAGGAACTTGCACAAAGTCACCCACTAGTAGTGATAGAGCTGGGATCTGAATGCAGACAATCTGGCTCCAAATCCACATAACTGCGCAGAGATCTAAAATATATCCTTACATTTTAAAATATTCTTCCACAGAGAACCTGGACTGTTTTAGAGCCACACAAACTCGATTGTTCCTGGAAGAAGGGATTTCAGAGGAGGAAGAGGATTCGCATCCCCCAATTTCCCAGATGATTCACTTAATAACTGGGGGTCAGAAGGAGATTGAGGCAGAGCACCAGCATGTACAAAGAAAGGCCTGGAGGCCTAGGAGGGTGGGAACATCCCAGGAATTGCAGTGTGGCTGGACCAGGGCTCCTGTGGGCGGGGCGGGAGATGGGCCGGAACCTCGGAATGAAGGGCACAGGAATTGGGACTTGACCCTGGTGGCGATGTAGAGTCACTGGGACATCTGAAGCCGGTGTGCAGCGTAAGTGTCCCAGTTACTCTTCTGGATGATGTAAAACACGACCCAACATTCATTGGCGTGGCCCAACCATTTTGTCATGATCACAAGTTTCGTGGGCCTGGAGAATGGCCTGCGCAGCTCAGGCAGCTCTCCTTCTCTCCGTTATGTCTGAGGCTCAGCTGCGAAGACTCAGTGGAGGCAGCTGGAACCGCTGGGACAGAGCACTCACTTCCGAAGTGATTCTCAGGGCTGGTGCCTGGACTGGGATAACCTGACAGCTGACTCCACTGGGACTGTTGGCTGGAGCACCTGCCCGTGGCCTCTTCCCGTGGCATCTGCACATGGCCTCTGCACGTGGCCTCTGCATGTGGACTCTGCACGTGGCCTCTGCACATGACCTGGACTTTTCACAACATGGTGCTGGGTTCTGAGAGGACAGTCCTCAGAGGGGCCTTGCAGGACCCGTGGACGCTAACCTCAGAAGTCACACAGTGTCACTCTGTGACCTCTACTGGTTGAAGCAGTCACAAAGCTGCTTAGATTCAAGTGGAGGACACCCCATCTCTCAATGGAGCAATGTCAAAGAATCTGAACCCCGGCTTTAAACTCACCATAATGCGATACGGTTTGGGGAATAAACCATCCGTCAACAGTGTGGAGGAGGGACTAGAGAGGGTAACGTTGGGTCCCACGAGAGGGGACCTACAGGGATTGAGACTGAGGGAGGGGTAGTTCCCCAATGCAAACTGGATGTTATTAGCGAAGAGGAGAAGTTGAGTGTGAGGGTCTGAGGGCACCCAGGTGTGGCAGGCACTTATTGACCAGCATGGACGATTGTCTGGACAAAAGCTGGATAGTTCGCCCGTCTGGAGCTTAGCAAAGCAACCTGGGCTGGAGATTTGGGAGCCATCAGCACACAAATGGTAACTAAAGCCCCGTATACAATTGGGGACTAAAGAGAGGGCCCGGGAGACGCACTGGAGGGCCCTGTGAATTCCGCACAGGGGAGGGGAGAGAAGGAGGTTTGAAAGGAGACACACTAAGATTTTCATGGGAGCCAGAAGAGGAAGACGTTAGGGAGGAGCAGACAGCAGAGTCCAAGGCCATAGGGGAGCCGAGGACGACCCAAAAGTGCCCGATGGATTTGGCACTGGAGTCCCAGCTCAAAAATCTCACCCACTTGTCCATTTCCGAGGAATTTGTCCCTTTCATCGAAGTTGTTGAATCCGTTGGCATATAATTATTCATAATATACTCTGATCATCATTTTAATTCCCGTAAAATCTGTGACGGTGTCTCCTCTTTCAGTCCTGACAGTGTTCATCTGGGCTTTCTCTCTCTCTTCCTGATCACTCTCCCTAGGAGTTCATGCCACACCCATCTGGCATTTTGGTCATGGCTGATGTTTGAAAGAGCGTTTAAGATCTAAGCTATTTCAGGTGGGAAGAAGCCTCCAAATAAAAGTTAAAACCTTAAAAAATAATCGCCCTCAAAATCAGCCACAAACATGACGGGAAACAGATCAAACCGTTGATTACATCAGCGAAATCATACATCGAGGCCGGGCATCGGGCCATAAAGACAAAACCTGTTTCTTGGCCTTGTTCTGTCATCAGCCGAATAAAGTGCCTCAGCTTTGGACCTCTTTTAGCTGAAATAATAATAATAATTTTGCTAACGTCGGCTTCCAAACTGTACGAGTAATTCATACAGCAGCAGGGCTGGCTCCTGTGGGCAGACTGGCATTGTAGCATTGTCAGTAGGAAGACAGACTTTGCTTAGAGCTCTGTGTCTTTGAATAATTTCTTAACCTCTCTGAGCCTGTCTCCAAAACTGTAAATAATATCTCTCTCATTAATGTATGTGTGAGGAAGGATTAAGTGAAATATCCTGTGTAAGGCGCTCAATAAATGGCAACTGAGTCAAGAGCCTTTTCATCCCGAGTGATAGAAACCCAACCCAAATTTAGCTTCTGGGGGGCAAGGGGGGCGTTTATAGACGTGGTGGCTTTTGACGGATCAACTTGTCAAGGCTGAACTGCAGTCCCCAGAATTCCCGTTCTAAGCTGTTTGCGTTTAGGCTGGGCTCCGGGGGTCCTCTCTCAAGAGCTGGAGGAAGGAAGGGAGGCAGTGGCCGTCTGACAGCAAACATGCGCCTTCTCAGGGTATTTAACCAAATACTGACCTCAGTGCTTCACGAAGGAATTCTTCAGGTGCGATCACGTCCCTAATCAGTTTGGTTAAGTTCATCAGTGGGTGATAATGGGGTGGGGGGTGGGGGGTGTCGGACCTAATCAGTTAGAGCAGTGGTTCTCAACCTTCCTCATGCCGCGACCCTTTAATACAGTTCCTCATGTTGTGGGGACCCCCAACCATAACATTATTCTCGTTGCTACTTCATAACTGTAATTTTGCTGCTGTTATGAATCGTCATGTAAATATCTGATATGCAGGATGTATTTTCATTGTGACACATTGAACATAATTAAAGCATAGTGATTCATCACAAAAACAATATGTAATTATATATGTGTTTTCCGATGGTCTTAGGCTACCCCTGTGAAAGGGTCGTTCGACCCCCAAAGGGGTCGCGACCCACAGGTTGAGAACCGCTGAGTTAGAGGCACTTGAACGCAGGCGTAGGCCTCCTCCAGGGAGATTCACCAAGTAGCTGCTAGGCTGACAACTGCTCTTCCTTCCCTCTCGACCTTCCTCCCTGACTGCAGCCTGTGAACATCCAGCTGAGCTCGCACCGTGGGTGTCCAGCTGCTCGTGACCACAACATGATGAAACCGCCTGCACGTCTAATTCCTGTGCCCCTGCCCTCCCCTGCTGGCCAGCCGCCCAAAGGCAGGGCCCATCCATTGCCTTCATTCCCAGAGCTGCTCCTCTTCCCAAATCTCTACTACCAACCAATGCTGCACTGCCAGCTCCCAGTGCGACTGTTAAACAGTCTTGTTCCTTGCCCTACACCAAGCATGCCAAACTCAAAGGCTGACTGGGCCAAATAGCAAGGTTTGAGTGCATGTGGGCTGCAAAAAGCAAAAACTTCCATTTTCATAGAAACGTGGGTTTATTTCGATGGAGACATGCTGAGTACAAAGGGCCGAAATAAATGAGTCATCGTTAACATAAAATAATAGAACATTTTAATAAAAACTAGTATTTTTTCTTGAACATTAACTTACCAGACACTGAATAACTGCACAAATTAATAAGGGCAACGCAAATAAATCTATTTTTCTTGTTCTCCGAAAGTGAAATATTTCCTGTTGCGCAGACCAAACAAGTCAGTCCATGACTTATAATGTGGCCATCGGCTGCTAAAATATTCGCTGCTGGGTTTAGCGAGGGGGAATGGTGCGCCTGCACGTAAGGCGCGTAAGGGAAATGAATGCAACAGGATTATAGTCATCGGTCATTAGCGAATGTTGTAGTTCGTCATTAATAATGATGTATAACAGGATATTGTAAAATGTTACGAAATTTTTATTAAAACGTTTCTTACCGTTATATTGGCTGGGCCACAAAAATACTCGTTGTGGGCCGCATGCAGCCCGCGGGCTGCGAGTTTGACGTGCTTGCCCTACACGGTCTCTAAAGACAGGGAAGGACTATTATTGCACTACATTTAGAGTCTTGGTGATCAGAGAACATCTTGCGATGAGCTCTAGCAGGCCTGGGAGGGGACGCGTGTCTCTTTAAGAGCCCTGCAGCAGACACTCAGACTAGGGCGTCGCCTTGGCCAGTCCCACTTCTTACGCAAACAGCTGTACATTTTCCTAAAGTTGGGGAGGTTGCTGCCGCCAACCAGGTTACCAGGAAACTGGATGCTGTGAAGAGAGGGAGCAGGAGACTCCTGCCAGCAAAGGCCGATCTAAAAGCAGCTGAAATCGAACAGATTTATCCTCTTAACAACCAAGGCGTCCTAGTCCCCAGCCGGAGCACAGGCCCCATTCCAAACCCGAGGGACGGAGGAGCCGGCTCCCCGGAGAGGACTGGGCAGCCTGGCGCACACCTGTGACCAGCAGCCAGGTCCTCACTATGTAGCCTTCAGCCACCTGTGGCCACTTAAAGTTAATTAACATTCAGCAAAACTTAAAATCCATTCCCTCCGTTGCACTGGCCACATTCAAGTGCTCCATGGCCACGTGTGTCCGGTGGCTGCCACGCTGGGCAGTGCAGACGGGGAGCAGTCATCTCTGGAAGTCTGGTCAGACAGCACCGAGCTGGATTATGGTCAGGCTGCATATTAAGAAGCTGCAGCATCAGCGTGGCTTAAAGACATAACGGTTTACTTCTCTCTCTCTTTCCCACAAGTCTAAGGCAGTAAAGCCGCTCCCCGGGGTCCTCAGGACGAATTATGTTCATCCGGTTCCTTCCATCATGACCCTGCCATTCCTGGGGCGGTTCCTTCTCCTCACGGTCCAGGGTCCCGGATGCTGCGCCTGTGGCTGGGGGCGGGGGCAAGCCGGGGGGCGGGGTGGGAAGCAGAGAGCGCCTCCTTCCTTTGAAAGGCATCACCTTGACCTGCATCCCTGGCCAGCATTTGTCATGTGGCCTCACCTGACAGTGAGGAGGCTGGGAAACCTTATTCTGGTCAACAGTAAAGAGTGGATGGCGGTGGACAGGGTTGTGTGGCCGCTACGGGCACGTAGCGGTCTCTTCCACGGCGGTTGGGCATCACTGAGTCAGTGTCTGCGGCGTTCTCTTTCTTGTGACCTTTCTGTTCTCTCCTTCCACTTTCCTGTTGTTATGGGTTCACTCAGCGAGATAGACCACCGACTCAGAATTTAAATTTAAGAGCCTTTATTG